TTAGAACAAGGTTCTTTGCTTTTTTTTTTTTTTTTTAATGCCATGAACTTCTTTAACCGTCTTCTAAAGTGGCGTTTTTATTCTTTCTTTATTTTTTTTAGAGATAGGGTCTCACTCTGTTGCCCAGACTAGAATGCAGTGGACATGATTATAACTCCCTGTAGCCTCCAACTCTTGGGCTCAAGTGATCCTTCCACCTCAGCCTTCCAAGTATGTACCTAAGGCTACAGGTGTGTGCCATCACTTTCAGCTAATTTAAACAATTTTTTTTTTTTTGGTAGAGATGGGGTCTTGCCATGTTGCCACACCGGTCTTGAACTCTTGGCCTCAAGTGATCCTCCCGCCTTGGCCTCCCAAAATGCTGGGATTACAGGTGTGAGTCACCCAGCCCAGACCCAAATAGTGTTTTTAAATGCATAAAATGAGATACATGGGATTACAAAAGAATGGTTATGGCTCTAATCATAGATCTCAGGTTAAAATGGCTAGTTACGCTCTTTTGGAGGACAAATAATCCACTCTCTGAAAACAGAGCACAAACCTTGGCTTCTCCTCCTGCACGCTGGAGGGTGGGGTGGGGTGGGGGAGGTGTTTGTGCTTATTTTTGGAGGGCTGTCCTGGGGTGGATGGAAACGAGGGGGAGGCAGAGTTGGGAACCTTAGGGAGATGCCACTTGGAGGCAGATGGCTGGGCTGCCTGGGGGAAGGGGTCAGCACCCCCATCTCTGGAGGTGGTGAGCTGGAGGCCCATCTGTCAGGGATTCTGGGGTCAGGCTGGGGTGGGTGATTTCTGCCTAGGTGGAAGAGGATTTTGATTTTTCCTGAGCTGCTTTTGGTGGTGAATCTAGGAGATACCTGGGGCTGTAGGATCTTTCTCCCTTGCCAAGCCCTGAGCCACCCTGGCAGCCCTGGCAACAAGAGAATGGTTACTTTGTGCTGGCTTCTGCTTGCCAGGCCATGGCAACAAATTTATCCCAGTGCCATCTCCATTTTGCCTCAGAACCAGTCATTGATCTTGTTCTTTGGAAGACAATGGCTTCAGGCTAGGGAAATACCTCCCTCCTCTGTCTGTTTTCCAAAACCATTCCTGGGGAAGGGGATGGATTGTAAACTGTATCACCCAGCCTCCCCTGACAGCTGTGCAGGGTTTCAGTTCAGAGCCTAGGATGGGGTCCCTCCTCTCCTCAGTGGCACTGTCACCCTCCCTGGCAGCTTCAAGACCTTCAACATCAACTGACAGTCTTTGAAATTGTCCGGTCCAAATCGCCAGTGTGGGAGCATGGATGGGGTCACTGAGGCCCAGAGAGGGCAAGGGCTTTGCCGAAGTCACATAACCTCGAGGTAGCAGGACAGGTTCTGGAACCTCAGCACTGACTCATCCTGCTGCGGAGTAGGGAGAGCTGGCAGCGGGAAGGCAGCCCTGGGTCTCCTTTGACAAACACATCATGCTTCCCACCTAAACCACCTCTGTGGGTGGGGAGCTGGGGACTGGTCTATTAGCTTTCTCCCGCTGTCCCCCGAGGGTGCATTTGTCTGTTTTGCATTTTTTCCAGGCTGTAGTTAGACAACTCCTGGTCCTGGGGGGAGTGCTGCAAAGAGAAAATGTCAGGGCGACATGCCGCCAAGATAACATTAGCGAAATATCAAGTCCTTTATGATGTCAGGAGGGATTCCTTCCTGCTGCCGAAGCTGCCTAATGACATCATAAAATAGGCCTGCAGCAGCCGCTGTCCCCCTGAGTCATCAATCAGGCCCGATCACGGAGGGCCCCAGCCTGTAGGCGGGGTGGGGGTGCCGGATTTTAAACTCAAAGGAGGCCCCAACACAGCAGCACGGTGAGGAACTGAGGGACTGAAGACACCCACAGTCCCCGGAAAGGGGCAGCCTCGGGGCGGCAGCGCCCCTCCACGGCTGACCTGGACACTAGGGGACAGGCCTGGCTCTGAGGCCCCTCGGATATCTTGAGGCTGAGTTGGCTGCCACAGGAAACTAATGCCTCCAGGGGAGGACTGCACCCAGCCTCGGGTACGTCCATGGTGCTAAATGAGAAAAGAGACCCAAACCCAGACTTCTGGTTTGCTGAGGGCTGACATGTCTCTTGAGGGAAAGACAGGACTGCTGAGGCCACGGCGGGAGGAGACCAAGAGCCACCCCACTAGAGACAGATGGAGGAGCTCTTTGGCTCCTTTGTGGCTGGGACGTACTCCTGCATGTTTTGTGTGTACACCTGCGTGTGTCCATCTAGCTGCATAAGTCTAGGAGTGTTCGCAGCACATTTACAAATGGGTGCACACACTCATGCCTACCTGCCTACTGTCCACCTGTTTGCATTTGTGTGTGTCTGTGTCTACGGCTGCCTATATACCTCTCTGTATGTCCATGTGCTTGTGCTTACGCATGTCAAAGTTTCTGCAGATGTGGGAAAGGGAATGTGGAAGGGGATAAGGAGGATGGAAGGGAGAAAGGGGGTTCCAGAGGGTGAGTGGGTGCGTGGGGTGTAGGGGTGCCAAGCATGTCCACTTAGCATGCTAGGCTGAGAACACTGGCTGTGTGTTGGAATCACCTGGGGAGGTTGTAAAATCCACCAGTGCTCCAGTGTCCCCTCAGATCAATTACACTGGGAACTCTGGAGCCAGGGCCCAGGTACTGGTGTTTTTTAAAGGCTCCCCAGGTGATTGTAAAGTGCCATTGGCGTTGAGGACCAGGGGTGTACTCAAGCCTGGGTATTCTAAGCGTGGCCTGAGGACTCGCAGCATCGGCCCACCTGGGAGCTTCAGAGAAATGCAGAATGCCAGGCCCTGTGCCAGACCTCCTGAGTCATAATCTGCATTTTCATCCGGCAGTCTGTATTTGAATAGGATCCCCAGGTGATCTGTACATCCGTTAAAGCTGGAGAAGAGAAGAGTGGTGCTTCTCCACATGAGCAGGCAACAGAACGTGTTTTAACAAACCCTCTGGGGTGATTCTGTTGCAGAATTTCTGATTCAGTAGGTCTGGGGTGGTGTCTAAGAACGTGCTTTTCTAACGAGTTCCCAGGTGATGCTGATGCGGCCAACCTGGGGCCTCCACTTTGAGAACCACTGGTATGACTGTAGCATAGGAAGGAGGCCGACGAGAGGAAAAGGGAGTGGAGGCGGGGGTGTGGGGGAGTGAAGGTGGGATGGAAGGGGAGAGGACCGCTCAGTCACCTGGGAAGATCATGTGCCTCAAGAGCCTGCCCTGTCGTGGTCTTAAATTCTTGATTTTCCTAGCTCTTGGGCCAGGCCAGGGATGGGGCTAGTAAAGAGAACAAGAAACATACACAACTAGCCGGGCGCGGTGGCTCAAGCATGTAATCCCAGCACTTTGGGAGGCTGAGGAGGGTGGATCATGAGGTCAAGGATGGAGACCATCCTGGTCAACATGGTGAAACCCCATCTCTACAAAAATACAAAAAATTAGCTGGGCATGGTGGCCCGTGCCTGTAATCCCAGCTACTCAGGAGGCTGAGGCAGGAGAATTGCCTAAACCCAGGAGGCGGAGGTTGCGGTGAGCCGAGATCGCGCCATTGCACTCCAGCCTGGGTAACAAGAGCGAAACTCCGTCTCAAAAAGAAAAAAAAAGAAAAAAGAAACATGCACAACTCTCCTGCTGACATTTATGCTGTCCTTTCTGGTCCCTGCAGAGCCTCTCCCCACCCCTCATTCTGTTCAGTAAGAGGATCCAGGGCTGGATACTTCTCTGGTTCCTGAGAGGCAGGCCCTCCCAGAGCCTGAGCTCATCAAAATGCCCACATGCCTTCCTGGGGGCCCAGCGCTCAGAGGGGGCTCAGTAATTATTAGGGCACCCAGGTATCCAGTTTGCCTGTGACAGTTGGTTTCTGATAATCATCCTTCCATTCTCAAACGTTTGCATGAAAAGCCATATGGATCCCTACTAATAATGGTTACCAAAATGATGAAGGTTCAGTTGAGGTAGAGGTAAGGAGGCCGAGAGGGTAGAGTGTGGGAGGGGACTGGGTGTCTTCCAAGGGGAAGCCCTCTGGAAACCTGCCTTCCAGCGCCCCTCATCCTTGCCCAGCTTCCTCAGGGAGGAATGGGTGGGAGGGTCCTTCCCAGGAGGAGTCAGTACTGGGGCAGGGGTCTCTCCTATGGGGCAGCCAGGCTTGTCTGTCCACCGGTGCAGAGGCAGGAGGTGGGGTGGGGGTGGGGGTGGTGATGGGAGCAGAGGATGGGCAGGTAGAGGCTCAGCTGCAGCCTCTGTCTTGGCTGGGGCCAGACTGTAGTATCAGTAGTCTTTTGCCTGCATCTCCGCCCCAGGAACCTGAGGGCTGTGGGAGGAGATAGGGATCAGCGGGAATACCAGAGGTGTGAGGCAGGCATGACCTCACCCAGGGTGTGCCTGCTCTCTGAGCCCTGCCAGGCCACCCTCCACCCGCTCCCAGGTGCCCCCAGGCCGGGTTAGACAACAAGCTTCAGCCAGCCGCGGCAGGGGCGTCCCAACGCGCTGGCTGGGTCCCAGCCAGGCTGAGGCAGGGAACTGGGTAGCCTAGTGCTACTCAGTACTTCTTCTCTAAGCAGCCTATAGTGACCCCTGGGGCCCCAAAGGGGATCTTCTCACCCCTTCACCGCTTGGTCCCTGGGGGCTGGTGCATTTGGGAGAGCAGCAGGGAAGTAGAGCTGGGGCCAGGGAGAGCAATTTAGGACTGGAATTTTGCCATGGACCTGTGGTCCAGAAACAAGGGAAGTCAGTACTCTCAAATAACCAAGGGAACCTGGAGACCTGTGTCATCTTGGGACAGGAGGTGAAAATCAGGAAGAAGTAGGTCCAGCAGTATGGGCAGAAGAATGCCACTGTGTGCCCAGTGTTGTACTCGCAAACATTAACTCAGAAATCACAGGCAGAAAAGCCAGAGGAGACTGTGGGGAGTGTTTACCAAGCCAAATACCTTAAAACACTTCTTGGTAACTTCTGATTCTGGATGAACCCAGAGATTCACACGTGGTAAGGTGGGCTGTTAAAGTCAAGGGGTTGACATGAGCTTGGTGGAGTCCTGGAAACAGGACGCCCACAGCTTCTAGGGAAAGGTGTCCTGTGGGAGGGCTCTCGGAGAAAATATTCCCACCCTTGACTATCTGTTGAGTGCGCTCCAGCCTCCTGGCTAGGGGCCCCTCCCCGCTGCCCATTTATGTCTGAAAGCCCACTCAGGCCCTCCCCACACATGCTCACCTATCCCCATCCCGCTTGTCTACAAGTGCACCCATGCCACCCCTGCACACACTGGTGTCCACCGCCTCCATCCACGCCCATCCCACACCTGCAAGCATGGGAAGCCAAGGGGGCCTTACCCCAGAGCTTTGCACAGAGCACACCCTCAAGACAGGTTTGCATAATGAGTGAGCAGATCCACCTGTGAGCTGTGGCCTTTTCTGGCCATGCTCCTTGTCTGTGGGCTCAGAGTCCCAAACCCAGCAGGGAAGAGGGGCAGATAGCATTTGCCCCAGGCTAAAGGCCATAACCCCTGCTCTCCAGAACATTACCTGGTGGTGGCTTTCCCTGCCTTGTGGATCTGAGCTGCTGTTCAGAGCTCCCTTTCCCTCATGCGCTTATAAGGGACCCCTGGCTGTATCTTGCCTATTGTTCTCTGAGTCATTTTTTGGTTAGCAAATGTTTCCTGGGCTTTCTGTGTGCCTGGCCTTATGCTGAGCTCTGGGGCCCAGAGGCCAGGAGAACAGTTAGCCCATCCCTTAGTCTCTCTGGGGCTTGGCAAGACCCTCAGACTGGCCACTTCTCCGATCTGGGAAGATATGACTCCTGGACCCTTCCCCACCCTCACTCCCATGTCTGCCCTCACACTCACACACTTTTCTCCACCATGTGGCAGCCACCCTCCTCCTTGCCGTTCTCCTCTACCCCCTCCTTTTCCTTCTTCACTCTGCTCTGGCTGGATGACAACACCTGGTGGCCTAGTTGTGTCCTCTTGGTTCTGGGACAGTGGCGGGAGTGTTGCGGAGAGTCTCGGACCCCTCTCTGGCAGCTTACGCTCCTGCTTTGGCACCGGGAGGAGCAGAGCCAGGTGGAACCCATATGAGTTGGTGGAGGTTGTGCCTGCTGGGTTCTGGTTAAGGTCTTGGCTTCTTGAGAGGCTGAAGCATGGCAGGAAGTGGATGGATTAAAAAGGGGCAGGGAGGGGAGGGAGGAGAAAGAGGGGGAGGAAGAAAGAGAGAATGGGAGACAGAAACAAGAGTGAAAGAAAGCTGCAGTGACCGAGAAGTAGAATTGGGACAAATGGACCAATATACCGAGATTCTGACTCTATCACCAGGCACTTCTAAAAGGTCACTGTCGGCCAGGCAGTGGCTCACACCTGTAATCCCAGCACTATGGGAGGCTGAGGTGGGCAGACTGCTTGAGTTCAAAAGTTCGGGACCAGGCTGAGCAACATAGTGAGACTCTGTCTCTACAAAAAATTAACCAGGCCTGTGGTGTGGGCCTGTGGTACCAGCTACTCAAGAGGCTGAGGCTAGATGATCTCTTGAGCCTGGGAAGTGGAGGTTGCAGTGAGGCGAGACTGCGCCTCTGTGCTCCAGCCTGGGTGACGGAGTGAGAACCTGTCAAAAAAAATAAAAATAAAAAAAAATAAAAAATCACTTACTTTTCTTAGGCATGCACTTGGGTCTGTCTCAGTGTGTAGAGAGATGCATGTGTGTGATGCACAGCCTCAGATGGCCTCGGCTCGGGTCCTGTCCCGGACTCCTGCTCCAGCTGGCCACAGTGCCCACCCCTGCTATGAGGGCTGGAAGGTGCCCTCCAGGAGGAGACCTTGGAGAGTGGTCTCTGAGGGCACTCTGAGGGCACGTTTCTCTGAGGGCACTCTGGCTCTGGGATGCTCTCATTTTCCCCTCCATGGCCCCCACCTTGTTGCAGTCTTGACACCCCTCAGCTCAAGGCTTCAGGGAGCTTCAGAGATTGAGGAAATGAACTTTGTAGAAGATTTTGCACATTCTCAGCAGCCTCTGGCTGCACCTCACATGAGCAGCCTTCAGCCTTTCCTCAGATCCTGGATCTCGGGTCACCTTCCTTTGTCCCTGGCTGTGGTCTTGGACCTGATGAGCTCCTTCCTGTTTCCTGTGAGGCTGCCTAGGCAGGGGTGGGACTGGGGGCTCAAGATAAGCAGCTTGACCTCTTCTTCCCAGCTGAACTGTCAAGAAGCTCCCAGACGGCAAGGTTCTGATCCATCCCAATCTGCTCTGCAGGCCTCCCGGGCCCCTCCTTTGCCCTTTGCCTGGGGGACCCCTCCCCAGCCCTGGCCAAGGCCCAAGGGCCCTGCTAAGGTCACAAGCAATCTCCTAAACATAACAAGGGATCATGGCAGAAGGAGAGAGTCCCTTTGTGTCCTCACAGCACAGCACGCACCCGCCCCAGGACACAGGGGCCCTGGCAGCCTCCAGCCTGGTTATCTGATTTGGGGGCTGATGGGGTTTCTAATGGAAAACAATATGGTAATTTCAGAATGTTCCTGATTAGATGAAAATGATATTGCATCAAAGTTACTTCCTTAATTTATTCAGAAAATAACAAGAGAGAATTCTCTCCTAAGATCCTTAATTAAACCAGAGCTTCCACTGCAGGCAAAGCAAGCTCTGAGCTCCAGGTGTGGGGAACAAAGGCCACTACTGGCATGAATCTCTGAGGGGCTGCCCTTGGCTGTGGGGTCGGGGCAGGTCTTTACCCAGATAGGCTGCCCATTCTGCCAGGAGGGGCGCTGTCAGAGAGAGGGCACAGGATGAGGCTCTCTCTGCTGCAGGGGCCAGTGGGGCGGTCATCTTAGACTCATTCCGGTTCTGTCCTGCCTGCCTGTCTTCTCTAGCTCCACCCTGCTGGGTCCCCAGTGATCCTGATCCATGGAGATTCAGAAAGCTGGGGTGGCAGAGCTGGGAGCCCAGGGCGTCTTCAAGACATAGGCCAGCTGGGTGAGCATGGAAGACGCTGGTAGAGCTGGTTAGGATCTGCACTGGGTCAGCTTGGGGCAGTTGGCACACCCGAAAAGCCTTCACCAAAGAGGCTCCGATTTGAGAGGGAGAGGCAGGGCTAAGAGAAAGAACAAGATGCTGAAGCATCTGGACAGCGACAGGGGGAAGGAAGCTGTGGCCGCTCTTAGGCCTGAAGGGGCAAGGGAAGGAAAGACAGAGGAGGGGCCACTGGACAGAGCTGGGGCCCTAGAATGGCTCAGACAGTGCCTGAATGCAGTGAGTCAGAGAGGAGATGGGGGACACGTTCCCAACCTGTTTCTTTTCCTGCTCTTGATTCCTTGCTGGTGCCACATATTAGCTGGCCTGGACTGGAAGCCAAAGGGTGGGAAAGCCTGGGTGACACACTTCCTAGGGATGGCCCCTGGAGGCTCAGAACAGGGTTGAAAGTGAATCTGGGGACAGAGCAAGTGCAGCTTCCAAGGTGATGTAAACAACCTTTCATTTGTCTGATACTTCAGATGCACCAGCACATTCTCATCCATTTTCCTTGTCATTCTCTGCAATAGCCCTAAGTATACATTTTTGTCTCCAAGAGGAAGTAGGCTCAGAGAGGTCAAGTGATGTCCCTGAAATCACACAGTGGGGAGGTGATGGATTTGAATTCCATTCTGCTTTACTCCAACTTCCACCCCTTTCCCCCAATTAGATGCTTGGGGGGAAAGTGCTAGTCTGAGCTGGGTGTTACAAAGGCTCCTGATGTGTAAGGGCCCTGTCTAGAAGCTTCTGTGAGACCATGAGGGAAGTCCTGCCTCCTGCCCATGACTGAAGGTCTAGTATGTCCTTGGCACTTTGCAGACCAGACTACAGCAAACTCCCCAGGAAACAAAAATCTCTAATTTGAGTGGAACCTCCTATTCCTGGGTCTGCTATAGGTGGTCAGGGGGTGTGAATCTGGGATCCGCTGGAGCAAGAGCTGAAAAAGGAGGCATCATTCCTGAGCTGGAAGCATTTTGGAAGGAACTCCCCCTCTTCCCAGGGACCAACTCTGTGTGTCCACAGGCCTGCCGGTTACACTGCATCAGCCTTAGCCCTTCCCCACCAGACACCAGCACTCCACCTACTGAGCAGTGTTGCAGGGGCCAGGACTGGCTGGGGATTTGTGTATCTAATCCTCTGGGTGGCAGGAGGAACCTGGGTGGGGTTCTTGGGAAGCTTTTGACTTTGAACTCTGATGTGGCAGATGGGTAGAGAGATAGAAACCAGGGCTCTGAAACTGACTGAGAAGGACCACAATGTGCAAGGTTTCTGAGGGTGGGGAGGCTGGCGAGGCACATGTGTGTGCTTGTATGCATGGGTGTGCGTGTAGTATACATCAGCACATATGTGTGAGGATGTGTGCACAAGAGAGAGAATTCTTCGGTCATTGGAGATCAAAGGGTCAAGGTCCAAGGAAGCAGGGCTTGGATGGACTATGCAAGGCGGTAATAATAGAAGCAAGTAACGTTTATCTAACACTGTATGACAAGCCTCTTCCAGGCCCTTTACATATGTTAACTATTTTAATCCTTGCAACCAATTTAGGAGGTAGATACTATTATTACCCCATTTTAAAGGTGAGGACACTGAGACACAGAGTGGTTTCATGATGAGCCCCAATATAGGAGCTAGGATTTGGGCCCAGGCCCAAGTCTTGACCACTGAGGGGCACTGTGTGCCCCAGCCTTGGAGGGCATGGTCCTGGACCCTGCCTCCTGCACGTGGCTACTGGACTACTACTTTGATGCTCTCTCTGGGTGTTATGCTCTTTGTCCCCAGCGGGTCTGTTTTGGGGAGGTGTGAAGTTGATCCCACAAAGTTCAAGTATCAGGCAGGAAGTTGTAACTGAGCCAAAGCAGGGAGGTGTCAAAGAAGCTTGGGTTTGGGGGTCATTCATCCTGTATGGTGGGTTTATGAGGTGCAGGGGGATGAGGCAGACAAGTGAGCAGGGGTGATGTGTAAAGGGATTTTGTCAGCCAGACTAAGTCATGACACCTCCATCCTATAGCATAGGGGCAGGAGCCCTGGATAAGGGTTTCACACAGGAGAGTGGCATGATCGTCCTGGAAGGCTCCCTCTGGTGCAGTGTGGACTGGGGCAGGAGAGATTGGAGGCTGAGCAGCTGATGAGCTGAGTAATGCCAAAATCTCCAGGCAAAAGGTGATAAAGCCTGGGCTGGGTCAGGAGGTAGAACTGGGGAGATGCTATTAAGAGGTAGAAGTACTGGGTGTGGTGGCTCACGCCTGTAATCTCAGAACTTTGGGAGGCTGAGGCGAGTGGATCTCACCTAAGGTCGGGAGTTCAAGACCAGCCTGGTCTCTACTGAAAATACAAAAATTAGCTGGTGTGGTGGCACGTGCCTGTAGTCACAGCTACTTGGGAGGCTGAGGCAGGAGAATTGCTTGAACCCCAGAGGTAGAGGTTGCAGTGAGCCAAGATGACGCCACTGCAATCCAGCCTGGGTGAGACTCTGTCTCAAAAAAAATAAATAAATAAATAAGAGAAGCCTCAGTCAGTGTTTGGGGATAGACTGGACCCGGTGGGGTGGGGGAAGGGAGTCGCTGAGAAGGACCCCTAGATTTTTGGATACCTGGGTGGGTAGGAGTCAAAGGAAGAAGAGCAGCTCCTGTTAGTCCCATAGGTCCCTCAAGGCAACAGGGAAGTCTGTGACCTGGTGGCTGAGGCTCAGCTACCCCGAGGAACCCAGGAAAAGTGAGCAGGGTAGCTTTCCCTAGGCCAGAGTATCACATGGCCCTGGAGAGACTGGATCAGCCCTGGATTCTTTCCTGCTGGACACCAGAGGCTAGGGAGGCAGGAGGTCAGAGGCATGGCAGTGGACAAATCAGGAAATGTGGGGCAGGGATTGGTTTCCTTTGGAGTCATTTTTATTTTCCTTAGACTCCTCTGTTTCTAAAAGACTCAAACAGGAGACAGCAGGAGCAGAAAAGCCATATATCATTCATTCTTTTTTATTTTTTTGGTGAAGTCTCACTCTATCACCCAGGCTAGAGTGCAGTGGCACAATCTCATCTCGGTACAACTTATGCTTCCTGGGCTCAGGTGATCCCCCTGCCTCAACCTCAAGAATAGCTGGGAATACAGGCACGTGCCGCCACACCTTGCTAATTTTTGTATTTTCCTAGAGATGGTTTTCAACTCCTGACCTCAAGTGATCCACCCACCTTGGCCTCCCAAAGTTCTGGGATTACAGACATGAGCCACCACACCCGGCCTCATCATTTATTCTTAAGACTGAAATTCCAGAGAAGCCCTGTGGTACAGTGGTTAGAGCTCTCATTCTGCGGTTAGCTGCACTTCACATTCCAAAGTGATCACTTTGTAGCTGTGTGTTCTTGGACAAATCACTCCACCTCTCTGAGCCTTAGTTTCCTCATCTGGCAGTTAGGGATCATTGTAACACATACTTCATGGGCTCGTTGCCAAGTTTAAGGTAGTGAAGGCCCTCCACTGCAGCTCGTTATGATGCTCAGATCTGTGCAGGGTGACTGGGAACAGGGCTGCCATAGCATGTCTTCTAGGAGACCTCCCCCCTCCACAGGCAGGGGACACAGCTATTCTTTTGGGACTGGGGATGGGGAAGAAAGGGAGGGATGCCCATAAGTCTTTACTATCTGGCAATTCCAGGCTCTGCCTCTTCTTTGCAATCCTGGGGGAAAAACAATGGCAGTCCCCTCCCCCTACCATCTCCCCTGCCTGGACGTAGGCCTCCCCAGATGGGGTCTGGACCCTCCACGTCTCAGCCTTTCGCCCTGGCTGCTGACAGTGCCCAGCCTCTCCCCCACTCTACTCCCCCCAGGGCAGTGCCTCAACCCCAGCTGCCCAGTGCCTGCAGGCCGAAACTCGAAGCCAGGGCAAGTGGTCCCTGAGCGCTGGGATGACCCAGAGGGAGTTCTGAGCTCAGGGCAGGACCCAGCCTTGCCGCAGACCCTTCTACCTCCTTCCAAGGTCAGAGCCCACAGTCAGAGCCCAGCAGAGGGTAGTCAATTACCCTCTCCTCCTGGCTTCAGTTCCGGAAGCGAGGGGCCTGACCCCCAGGCTGAACTCAGCTCTTACCCCAACCCCAACTCAGAGAGTTTGCTGGCAGCAGCCTGGATGACTTTGGTGTAGTTTCTGTGGTTTAATAAGCTACAAAACGACATTATTTTAAGCCAATCTGGATATAGCACAAAAACTCTCACCCCGTCTGTTCTGTGAAACTCAGATACCCTGACGAGAACACAGCTCACAACCAACTAATACAATATTCTACTGGGCGCGCTGTCAGCGGGCCCCACGCGGGAGCCGGCTCCCGGAGGACGGCCCAGCCGCGCAGCGCAGGCCGAGGAGAGAGGCGGTGGCCGGGGCGGCGGAGCAGGCGGAGGGCTCAGGGCCCAGGCGGGGGCCTCACGGAGTTGTGGGGGCTGTCTGTCTTCTCCCTGAGCAGCTGGGGCCAGCCACACACAAACCCCTCACGGCTCCCCTACCCCCCTGCACAGGGACGCGGGGAGGAGAGGAGAGAGGAGAGGAGAGAAGAGAAGAGGAGAAGAGAGGAGAGAAGAGGAGAGGAGAGGAGAGGAGAGGCGCATTCTGGCCTGCTGACAGCAGTTCTACTCCCACAACTCACATATGTCTGATTCCGAAGCAGGGAAGTGTGTCCAACACACCCAATGCAAAGACAGGTTGTTGAATATTTTTTCTCTCATCACTAAAAAGGATTCCCTGCTGGGTGCAATCAAGATCCATAAACTCGCGGCTCGAGTCGGTGTGAAAGCAGCGCTCCAGCCCAGACTCCCTCGCTGGCGCTAAATGCAGGCTCCGGGCGGGCGGAGATGCGCCGGCATCCGCTAGCAGCCTGGCCTTGCGACCGCCAGTTCCCGGCACATTAGGCAGTGCGCTTATTTTGGGCTCCGCTTCAGTGGATTAACTTTCAGTGTAAAGTTTTGGAGCTCGGGCACCGTCCCCGTGACACTGCCCCCCCGCTCCCCGCCTTTCGGTGGGTACCAAACTTTACAGAGCTAGAGTCAAGGCGAGCTGGCTGGGTTCTCAGCAGTTCTGGGGTTCGGGGGGCGGGGCTGCCCCCCTGGCAGCTCGGAGAGCACCCCAGCTGGCTAACTCAGCCTGCCTCAGTGGGGAGAAAGTGCCAAGGCCTCTCTCCGGGACAGAGACACTGAGCTTGCAGGCTTTGATGCTTTTGCAAGGTTCCCGTGGGGGTCTGATCTGGGCTGGACTCCTCTCACTTCTGCTGGTGATGGCAGGTGGCAAGCCTGGTATCACCTCCCCCCACTCACTGGCTCCCTCCTGCCTCGGGGACAGGAACCCGGGATACATCCTGGAGGCTGGAATCCTGTTGTTTCTATGAAGATAAGGGTGCCTTCTTTCTTCTGAGATGCCTTCCCCATCCCTCAAGTGGGGAGGCAGAAAGGGAAGTGGCAGGAGACTTAGTTGGGCCATAGGAGAGCCCCAGGGAAGCTGAGGGGACAGAGAGAGGAGGTGAGGGAGAGGAGAAAAGGGAATATGGCCAGCCCCTAGACTCCTTTCTGTTGCCTTGGGAAGGAGGAGATTGGGGCTCTTTCTCTCCCCCAACCACATGCTCAGTGACCGTCTGCTGGGAGGTGTTTTCAGATCCAGTGGTTTAAAACTCTGGTTCCTATGAATTATTAAGAAGCAACTGAAAGTGTTGTCTTCAGAAAAGTCCCTTTCTTCTCTTAGCATCCCATTTTCTGGGGGCCTAGGATGTGCCATTTAAAACCAGAGTGAGCTTCAGCAGAAACAACATACAGGGTGAAACAGTGCAGGGAGAGCACCCAGGCTCTACAGGGTGTGGACCATGTTATTTACTCACCGATTCATTCCGACACATCATCAGGGCTGACTTTGTGTAGGTTACTGGATGGGGGCTTTGGGAGGCACAGCCTGGGAAAGGAGAGTAGATGCATACCCGTTCACGAATTTGTTCATTTATTAACACCAAGCATGAGCCAGACACTGTGTTTGGGCGCCGAGCACAAGCAGATGCAGTCTGACTATGAAGCAGAATGTGCAAAGGGCTGCGAAGGAGAGAAGGGGCATGGGGATTGGGCTGCCCCGAGCCTCTGCAGGCCGTGCTGTCCAGGTCCTCTCCCAGCTATGAGGCCATGCTGAGTGAAGGCTGGACAGACCACAACACCTTTGGGGCCTGCATCCTTTTAAGCTTTGCACCAGCTTGCAGAAGCCCACAGGGTGCAATCACTGTGCCTCAAAGTTATAGCAAAGCAAAACCCAAGGATGAGAAAGAGGCAATGTTGAGGTAGTTTGGGGGAGCCCTGGATTTAAAAAATCTCTTATTTCCACTCATATCAGAAAAATCACTCTCTTTCAACCCCCTCCCCCACTTTTTCTGCGCTCTCTCTCTCTCTCTCTCTCTCTCTCTCTCCAAGAGATCAGCACATTGCAAAGACAGGTTGTTGAATATTTTCTCTCTCATCACTAAGAAGGCCTCCCTGCTGGGTGTAATCAAGAACCATAAACTCGCCTTGCGGCTCCAGTCAGTGTGAATCGAGCCCCAGTCAGCTTTCCTTGATTCAGACATGCTCTGGCTCTGGCGGACTGACAGCATGGGCCAGGCCGGTGGGTGACGGCCAGACTGCTCTCCCATATGCATCTGAAGGGGCGGCAGCCAGTGGGGCTGGGTCTCCCAGACTCTCCGCCACCAGCTTTGTAATGACCTGGCATGGAATTCAGAGCGCCTCTTCTGAAAGGTCAGGAAGGAGAGAAATCAATGCCTGCAAACAGGGAATCGGTGCATTGACAGGTGCCACGGGCACTCCTTGGCCCTCACCCCATGTCCACAGGTCCCTGGGGAGAGGAGACACAGACAGAATGACCTCTCAGACCTGGCAGTTATTTCTGATGGGCAGCCCAACCAGATGGCTTTCTCTGGTTTCTAGAATTGTTCCTTTCAAGGTAGAAGAGGCCATGGACCTGGTGTTGCCCCAGTGGTCTAGGGTGGGGCTGGAGGGTGGGGATATGGGAATAAGAGGGGAGAGTGAAGGAGAGGCACCGGGAGAGCCTGGCTGATGGCTGGTCAGCTGCTAAGGGTGCTGTCCCGTTCTTTGTCTGTAAAGGCAGGAATAGCAATGGTAAGAAGTCTTCAGAGAGAAAGCTAGAGAGAAGCCTTTCCCATCTTTCCTTGACTTTCTGACTCTGACAGTGTCACTGCCACTGCCACTGCCTGGACCCCTGGACCAGATGGTCCCTCCTCCCTGACTCAAGAGCTGCTTCTAATATTCCTTTCAAAAGGTACCCTCCTCTTGCCAGCCAGCAAACCTTTTGGACACCCGAGCGGTTTCCCAAATGCGCCTTGTACATTTCCACCTCCAGGCCTTTGTGTTTGCCATTTTCCCTGCCAGGCAGGCCCTCTCTTCCTGCTCTGTCTCGTGAGCTCTGACCTGTCTTTCCAGGCTCTGTGGAAACATCTCCTCTTTTGAGGAGCTTTATCCCACAAGGCCGAGGTAATCCGTGCTCCCTGGAGAACTGTGCAATTCAGCCCTTAACTTACAACATAGTGAGGATCTGTCCCCCTGCCCTCTGGGTGAGGGCAACCCCTCTAGGGTTGGGACTGAGTCTGACTCAGCTTTATGCACCCAGAGCCCAGCATGGAGCTTGTTGGGATGAACAGCATCAGAAATTTCATCACTGTTTCAACACCGCTCTGTGTCTCTACCTGCCCACCTGTGTACCTGCAAACCTGTGTGCCTGAGTGGGAGAGTGTGCCCTGGTTTCCACATATCAGTCTGTTGCAGGAATGTCTTCCTGCCCACCCCTCCCTTCTCCACCCTCCAAACCAGGTAGGGAGCTCCTTGAGGGCAGGGTGAGCTCTGCCTCATCTCTGAAAGCACAAATACAAAGTGGGAGCTGGTAGAGCTCTGTGGACCCGGGTCCAGAATTTGCTAAAAGGGACCTGCTCAGGCAGGAGCTCTCTAAGCAGGGTTGCTGTTGTGGGTTCCCGTGAAGGGTCTGGGCAAGTCCCTGTGCAGGGATCAAATGCTCACTCTTCATGGGGTGGGAAGGTCCTTTGCATTCAAACATGGAGAAGCGGTGGCCCCAGAATCTGCAGGCTCAGCCTCAGGGGCTGGCTCTCCACGCTGGGTCTTCACATTCCCATTAGCCTGCTGCGGGGTTAGCCCTGGGGCTCTTCTCCCAGCACTGCCAAATTCTATGCCTCTGCAGAACAAAGGGCAGGTAGGTTCTGCTGCTGCCTCCGTAGCCTCCCTTGGGAGGCCGGGAGCCGGAACTCAGACAAAGCGAGGGTTTCCTCTCAGGCAGACAGCTCGCCCGCCCTCCTGCCTTTGCAGAGGCCAGGGAGATATTGCCCACCAGCTTCAGGGCTCTCCTAACTCTTTCAAGACAATCACTTTATTTATATGAATTTGTTTAAAAAACCTGCAGACGATCCACCACGGGACCTCTCCGACCGGCTCAGCTTGGTTCTCTCCTATCCTCCGAGTCCATAACTCTTAGTCTTTTGATTCTCCCAGTCCACAAACTATAAAAATCTTATTTCTATAAGGTCTTTTATGGTTACCAAGATAGTCAATAGTGTCATTTTCATTCATATCATTCTGCAGGGAAGTTAGAGGAAACGAACCAGACAGAGGAGAGCTATAAATAAGGTTCAGCTACACAAGGCCCCAAGCGGATCCCACTATGTTCTTTTAAAACTACTCATGCACAGAATACACACACACGACATACACATATGCACACATATGCCCAGCCATGCTACAGACAGGTGCACACGAACTCATCCATGCACACAGGATGCTTTGTCTGCATGCTGCTTGCACGTACACATGCATGTGCATGTATGTGCTTGCACCATCCGGCAGTTTTAGAAAAAAGCTCTTGATGGGATTTGCCTGGCTTTGAAGGGCCAAGAGCAGGCAGCAGTACTTGCTGCGGCGAGATGGGGGGAACTGAAGCAGGCCAGCTCAGAGAACGCATTCCAAAGCCATGAACTGCGAGGCTGGGCAGGCGGCCATCCATGAGCTCATGTGTGGGGAGCTTTGGAATTCCCGCCAGCACAGGAGCTGGCTCTGGCCTGAGCAGCAGGGGCAGCTGCCCAGCCAGCACTGGGAACCCTGGGCCATTCTCAGGGCTTCCTCTGACTGTCTCTTGGTGTCATCTGAGGGCTGAACCCCTCATTCTTTGGAGGAGAGCCAGCCAGCTTTGCCATTCTGGTTGGAACTTGCCACCACACCTGATTGTCCACAGCCCTGCTACCCACAGCTTTGCCTTCAGGGTGGGACCCCAGAGGAGGAGTCTAAGTGTGACCCTGGAACAGAAAGCAGGAAGCTCCACAGGCACTGAGGCCCATGTGGAGGCAGAGAGAGAGCTGGCAAGTCTGAATGCTGGGGCAGAAGGGTGTTGGCCCAGACGGGACCAAGCAAAGATGGAGGGGGCAGGCCCAGGCCCAGGCCCGGGGAAGAGGGAGTGTTCCCCCAGGTAAATGTCATGGGGTCTCTGTCCCAAGCTGCCAAGAGAGCAGGTAGGGGAAATGAGGAGCTGCATGGCTGGTGCCAGAGAACTGTGCTCTCTTTAGAGAATTCCAGGCTCATTGGCATGGGGTGCAGAGGAAGGAACGGGCACTGGTGTCAAGAGGTGTGGGTTCTAGCACTGACTAACTGTACACTGCTGCCCTTTGTGATGATGGCAGACACCCACTCAGGGCCTCTGTACCCTTGTGAATCATAAGGAGGGATGAGGTCTCAGGCGCCTCCTAGTTAGGGAACCACTGGTGGACTCGCCACACTTCAAGGTTCCAGGGCAGGTGTCTCCTTCATTTCCCCACCTGCAGAATGGGGCTAATGATTTTTCACTGTCAGCAACATCCCAGGGATGCTGTGAGGGGAAAGGGGCAAAAGTCCAGGCATACGGATGAGCTTATTTGGGAACTGGTGCCTTTGGAACTCCTAAGGAATGCAACCCATCAGGGTGCCCAAGACCTTGAAAAGGATTCCCTCCCACCCCCAGCTTTTTCTTCCTCCTTACTACTCAGCACCCCCTGCCCTCCCCCAGCACGAGAGAGCTCAGAATAGAGCCCAGGACTCTGAGCTCAAGGCCTTGGAATTCCTCTATTTCCCTACTGCCTTCTTCAAGGGAACTATTAATTGTAATTTAAGCCTCCCAAGTTAAAAGCAGTGTGCAGATTTAAGGATTCTTTCATCCCAATTACACATCGTTTCTGGCTGCACTTTAGTGCCAGGCTTTTATCTGTTGTTCTGGGGAATCACTTATCGGCCAGAGCAGCGGGCTCCACACAGATTGCTGCCTGATTATGTTTAATGGCAAATGGAGAGTTAACTCTCCTCCATCCCCAGAGCTGTGTCGGCACTTTTCCCAGCCCAGCCGAAAGCAGCCCAGGGGAAAGGGAGGGCAGGGAATGGGGAGCTGCAGGGCCCTCCACGTCCTGGGACCATTTGTGCAGGGCTCCGAGGGGACCCGTGTGGCTCAGGGTGGCTAAGCGGGGGAGATGCTGCCCCACCCGATAGGTGACCTGAGTGCTCTGTTCCAAATGCCAATAGCAGCTCTTTGTTTATTCTAGGCCTTCCACTGCCTTGGGAGTCTATCATGTGTTCATACCTTGGGCTGGCATCGTTTCCTTACTCACACTGGAGCATGCCTGGCAGTCAGGGCCACTGCGTCAGTCTCATACACACTTGTACCCTCCAGGGTGAGCCCAGTCCCCGGACTTGCACTGCCACACACACACACACACACTCACAATCAACATCTCCATGTGCAGGATCACACTCGACTTGCACAGATTCTCTACTCTCACCTGCAAGTGTACTCTCCCCTCAGTCCCAAGCATGCACAGAGCTGGACCCTTCTCCACAGTCAAACGGAGACTTTTCTGTCTGTCTGTCTTTGTCTTTTGCTCACAGAATTAGGCTGCCAGAGGAGCTTGGAGTGGATCTTGGAATGTCAGGTGATGAGATCACAGACTCAGGCCCCTGTGCCATTTAGCCCCCAGTGTCACCCACTTCCACTGGGTCCCTGAGCCCCAGTGGGATTGTAAGAGCTCAGGCTGGTGCAGTCCTTTGGATGCCACTATGTAAATCTCAAACTTAACACTCCAAAGCAGAGCTCCTGGTCTCCCCCAAACCTGCTTCTCCTGCAGTCCTCCCCCGTCTCAGCTCTTGGCAAGTCCTTGCTTCCATTGCTCAGGACAAAAAAACCCTGGAGTCATTCTTGACTCCTCTCTTTTTCTCACTTCCTACTGCTAGTCCATCAGCAGATCATGCTGGCTGTATTTTAAATACATATTCCTAATCTGATCACTTCTCACCACCCCCACTGCCACCACCTCGACCAACCCGACTCAGACCTGGTTTACTGTAGCAACCCCCAGACAGGTTTTCCTGTTTCTGCTCTTCCCCGCTATGTGGCAGCCAGACCATGTCCTTCTCTGCTCCTCTTGAAGAAATAGTGAGGACCTTACAGGGGCTTGTGAGTCCCTATGTGATCTGCTCCTTTAACCCCACCCGCTCCTGTCTTCTTCTCCCCCATTTTCCCTCCTGCACTCCCCTCCAGCCACAGTGGCCTCCTGGCTGCACCCCTGCCTTAGAGTCTTTGCTGTTTCCCTGCCTAGAATGCTTTTTTCTACCAGATGTCTATTTGAATAACCCTCTTCCTCCTCCTTCAAGCCTGCTCCAATGTCACTTCTTAGTGAGATCACCTTAAATATCCTATTGAATCCTGCAACCTGCTGCCCCTTCAGCCCCTGCCCTCCCAATCCCACTTACTCTGTTGTTTTTTTCCTCTTTTTCAGCAGAACATATACCTTCTATCACAAGTTGGTTGCACCGGGAAATAGAGTCCGATAAGACTTCGGTTTGCAGGAAGTTTACTGGGGAAGACTCTTAAGGGAGTGGAGGAAGCACTTTAGGGACCTTTAGGGAGTGGAGGAAGCAGAACCAGGCAGAGGGAAAAGTTGAATTGTGATGTCACAACAAAGGCCTCAGCTGACCCCATGGGGAGCTGTGAGCTGGGGTGACTTTCAAAGTCTTCTGCATTAAGGTGAGGGGTCTGGGGTCCTTATAGCCCCTCATCTACCTAATATTGGGTGTGGGCTGCCCCCAGGGAAGGGGAGTGATCTTGGGGGAAGCAGCTGTCTGCTCTGAGGGCAAATTCTGGGGAGGGACTCAGGTGAATGACTTTGGCCACCAGTACTCCCAGCAGCTGGGGGTGAGTGCATCTGTTCAGAACTGGAGAACTGATGCCATACCACAGCAACCACTCTGCCTTTTACCATACATAAAAGAGTAAATGTTAATATATAAAATTTATCGTTTGTTGGCCGGGTGCAGTGGCTCTCGCCTGTAATCTTAGCACTTTGGGAGGCCGAGGCGGGTGGATCATTTGAGGTCAGGAGTTCGAGATCAGCCTGACCAACATGGTGAAATTCCATCTCTACTAAAAATACAAAAAATTAGCTAGTCATGGGTGCGTGCGCCTGTAATCTCAGGTACTTGGGAGGCTGAGGCGGGAGAGTTGCTTGAACCTGGGAGGTGGAGGTTGCAGTGAGCTGAGATCATGCCACTGCACTCCAGCCTGGGCAACAGTGAGACTGCCTCAAAAATAAATAAATAAAATTTATTGTTTGTCTGTCTCTCCCTCTAGAAAAGAAGCTCCACGAGGGACAGGAATATCTGCGAGTATAGCTCCCTGATGTTTTCCAAGTGCCTGGAACAGTTTTGGCCCATAGTAGGCTCTCCATATATATTTGCTGAATGAATGAATGAACCTGCTCATTTCTCAATGTACTGCTTGTGTCTGCCATCAACGTTACTGGAATCTCAATCCCAGTTTTGCCACCAATCAGCTGTGCAAACTATGGGCAAGTTTTCTAACTTTTTGGAGCCTCTGCTTCTTCATCAGTAAAATGGAATAAGAGAAGTACCCATCTCACAGGGTTTTAGGAGGATGAGGTGAGCTCATGCTTGTAAAGCACCTTGCAGGTGCTTGGGACAAAGCTGGTAGTCACTGAATGTTAACTTGTTAATGTTGCTAACCTTGGGCTCTCCTTATCAGCCTTGAAGACAAAGCCAAGACTTCAGCTGGGAAATGTTGACCTTGTAAGTGTACAGGGATAGGTGGTGTACAGAAGTCTGATCTGCAGAGGTCATTATTGGTTAATGAGGATAGAGATCTGCTTTCAAGCCTCTGGCTAGAATCCTTGCCTTGGGACAGCTCAACGTGTACCTGTGAGTGTACATGGGTCTGCACATATGATTGAATAGAGCTAATGTGAGCTACATTCAAAGCTGTGCATTCCTAAAAGATAATTGGTCCTAGGTAGTAGGCCCATATAGGAAGTCAGCCATTAGCATGGTCAAAAGAGTCATCTTTCCTTCCTATCTTCTGCTCGCTCTTAACCTCCTGCACGGGCTTCTTCCCCATCGCTCCTCTGAATGAACTCACTTCCCAATATCCAGTGACTTCTTTATGGTCAAATCCAGTGGTTGCTTACTTGACCTCAGCAACAATACTGATCACCACTCTCCATCTTTACGTCCCGAATTTGGGCACAATGACTACCATGGTATGTCTCCCCAGCTTTCCTGCAAAGGGACTCATCAAGGCACTGTGTTCTTCTAGTCAATGAAAACATCTGTGGCCAACAACAGTGTGAGTCTCTTCCCAAGAACTGCCTTTGGCCAAATGGAACTGCCTCTCCCAAGTGTTATGCCACCTCTCAAGAGTTATACCGTTTCCCAAAGGTCACAACATCTCCCTGGAGGTAGTTCAAATTCAATAACTAACTGGTAACTCTTGTTTCATTTTGGGAAATCTTTAAAGGGGCATAGTTGCTCTAGCACTTCCCACCAGCCCTTGGTCAGCCCACATTTACCTCTGTTGGCAATACACCAGAGTTCAACCTCTCTCTCTGGCTCGCCTGGCTTCCCTTCCTCTTCACTAGTGTCATGCCCGAAATCTCTCCAATAAGTCCTCTGCATGCAAATCTCCATCTTTGATCTATTTCTAGGGAACCTGACCTACTACTACAGTTGGTGCTAGAAGTGGTTCCTAGGAAACAGACTCTAAAATGGGATTTTGGAGCTGGATCATCCACCGGCCAGTTGGTAATAAGAACCTCATCACTGGTGGTGGGTGGAGGTACCGATAGCCCCTGGCATGCTCTAGGGTGCAATTGTTAAACTTTCCCTGATGCGGAAGTGGGATGGGATACTGGCGAAAGGGAAAGTACTAATGGGTGTAATCTCTCAGACAGTAGAGAGGCTCAGAGGAGTGATAATTATAAAGTCTACGGAATTAAATGATTGTTGCTGGGGGCAAGCAAGGCATTGGAAAGACAATGAAATGCTGAGAGTGATTAATCACCAATTTAAGGTGAAGTGTGAAAGCTGAAGGGCCTCCTTGCTGTCAGATAAAGTGACTGTCTCCCAAAGCTGGAAGGCAGAAAAAACTGAGGTTTGGCCCAGGAATGAATTGTAAGGACAGCAGATTTCCAAAGAAAATTGAATTCTTGACATAGCAAGTCAGCTCTGTTTGATTGATCAGGGCTTGACTGGGGGCTCTGACACTTAGGACAGGGACATCTGGGTGGATTCCCTTGAATGCCTTGAAGCTCTAGGTCACCCTGAGCCCTCTGAGGCCATGGAATGTCCTGTGAAAGGCTTGAGCTTCCCTGGTGTGATGGTTAATACTGAGTGTCAACTTGATTGGATTGAAGGATACAAAGTATTGATCCTGGGTGTGCTTGTGAGGGTGTTGCCAAAGAAGATTAACATTTGAGTCAGTGGGAAAGGCAGACCCACCCGTAACTGGGTGGGCACCATCTAACCAGCTGCCAGCAAATATAAAGCAGGCAGAAAAATGTGACAAGGAGAGACTGGCCTAGCCTCCTAGCCTCTGTCTTTCTCCCGTGCTGGATGCTTCCTGCCCTAGAACACTGGACTCCAAGTTCTTCAGTTTTGGGATTCAGACTGGTTCTCCTTGCTCCTCAGCTTGCAGCCAGATTATTATGGGACCTTGTGACGCTGTAAGTTAACACTTAATTAACTTCTATATATCTATCTCCTATTGGTTCTGTCCCTCTAGAGAACCCTGACTAATGCAGATTTTGGTACCAGAAGGAGTTCTAGAGGAACAAAATATTAAGGATGGAGTTCTTTCATTGGTTTTGGGGTTTCTGGAGTTGGCTGGTTAATAAGATTCAACCCCAAATGCTGACGACTCTACTTCTAATCATATGGAGAACACTGATAGTCCTTGGTGTGAACTGTTTAGAGGGCTATGTAAAATAAATGCATTTGACACTCCTCATTTGCCACCTGTGAGAGGCAAGGAGCTCAGTGACTCTACACACAATACCTTTCACCATATGTGCAGAACCAAAGAACATAATGAAGCTGGTTGGTTGCTCCTAAGTTCAGTAGACAAAGTTATGAAAGAAAATAGTGAACTCAGGAATTCTGTCTCCTGGCTTCAAAAGCAGATACTGAGCCTCAAATCTGCTAAGGTTGACCTGAGTGAGAGTCTTATCTCCTGTAGGGAAAGAGCTGAAATTTTGGAAAAACAGACACAAGCTCTTATCATGTGAGTGGCTCACCTGCAATGAAAGATGCATGCACAGCCTCTCCAGATGTCTACTGTTGAAGCGAGGGCATTGATTGGAAGAGAATGGGACCCTGCAACTTGGAATGGGGATGTGTGGGAGAACCTGATGAAGCCGGAGACACTGAGTTTGTAAACTCCGATGAACCCTTTCAGCCAGAAGGAACAGCTTCACCACCTCCAGTAGTGGCCACATCCCCGCCCGGACCCACTGCCATCAGCCTTTCCACCTTTGCCTGAGGAGATAAACCCTGTGCTGCCTGAGGCAACAGGGATGGCCTCCCCTGAGGGAGTTATTTTGCCCCTGAGGCAAAATAATGTTGATTCTCCTCAGGGGCCACCCCCAACACCCCTGTTTGCTTCTAGACCTATAACTAAAGTCCCAGCGGGCCCCTGGAGGTGAGGTTGAGAGTGTGACCCATAAGGAGGGGCACTACACTAGAAAAGAACTGTTTGAGTTCTCTAATTTATATAAACAGCAATCTGGAGAACAGGCATGGGAATGGATGTTAAGGGTATGTGATAATGGTGGAAGAAACAGAGTTGGATCAGGCTGAATTTATTGATCCGGGCCCACTAGGCAGGGACTCTGCATTTAATGTTGCAGCTTAACCATATTTGCTTGGTTAACTGAAATATGGATTAAAAAAGATGTCCCACTGTAAAGGAGCTGGAAATGCCTGATCTTCCTTGGTTTAATGTAGAGGAAGGGATCCAAAGGCTTAGAGAGATTAGGATGGTGGAGTGGATTAGTCATTTTAAACCTATTCATCCCAGCTGGGAGAGTCCAGAAGACACACTCTTGACCAATGCCTTGTGAAATAGATTCGTGAGGGCATCACCTGCATCTTTGAAGAGCCCTGTAATTACTCTTATTTACATGTGAGATCTAATGGTAGGAACCACAGTCATTCAACTAAAAAATTTAAATTCAATGGGAATAATTGGATCCTCTGGTGGCAGGGGCCAAGTGGCAGTGCTCAACCGTCAAAGGCAAGGTGGCTGTAGCTACCACACTGGGCAGCAGAGGCAAAGCAACAGTCAGAGTGGTCTAAAGAATCATGGCCCCTCAATCAATTTACTGACTTGAAACCCAGAAATAAAGGGGAGGGAGACCCAGAAGCTCTTAAATAAAGGGGAGGCAGGGTCCTCTTGAGGAAGGACCCCACTACATTACTGACAATGTATGCAGTGAATCTTTCTCCCATCCTTCCCCAAGGAGACCTCCAGCCTATTATCAGGGTAACTGTGCATTGGGGAAAGGGAAATGATCAGACATTTCAGGGACTACAGGACACTGACTCTGAGCTGATGTTAGTTCCAGGGGACCCAAAACGTCACTGTGGTCCTCCAGTTAAAGTAGGGGCTTATGGAGGTCAGGTAATTAATGGAGTTTTAGCTCAGGTCCAACTTACAGTGGGTCCAGTGGATCCCCAGACTCATCCTGTGGTCATTTCCCCAGTGCCAGAATGCATAATTGGCATAGATATTCTTAGCAGCTGGTAGACTTCCTGACTGGTAGGGTGAGGACTATTATGATGGGAAAGGTCAAATGGAAGCCATTAGAGCTGCCTCTACTTAGAAAAATAGTAAGTTAAAAAAAAACAATATTGCATCCTTGGAGGGATTGCAGAGATTAGTGCCACCATCAAAGACTTGAAAGACACAGGGGCGGGGATTCCCTACACATGCCCATTCAATTCTTCCATTTGACCTGTGCAGAAGACAGATGGATCTTGGAGAATGACAGTGGATTATCATAAGCTTACCCAAGTGGTGACTCCAACTGCAGCTGCTGCACCAGATGTGCTTTCATTGCTTGAGCAAGTTAACACATCTCCTGGTGCCTGGTACGCAGCCACTGACTTGGCAAATGCCTTTTTCTCCATTCCTGTCCATAAGGCCCACCAGAAGCAAGTTGCCTTCAGCTGGCAAGGTCAGCAATACACCTTCACTGTCTCACCTCAGGGTATACCAACTCTCCGGCTTTGTGTCATAATCTTATTCAGAGAGGCCTTGATTGTTTTTTGCTTCTGCAAGATAACAAACACACTGGTCCATTACACTGATGACATTATGCTGATTGGATCCAGTGAGCAATACGTAACAAACACGCTGGACTTATTGGTGAGACATTTGTATGCACAGGATGGGAAATAAATCTGACTAAAATTCAGGGATCTTCTACCTCAGTAAAATTTCTAGGGGCCCAGTGGTGTGGGGTCTGTAGAGATATTCCTTCTAAGGTGAAGGATAAATTGCTGCATTTGGCCCCTCCTACAACCAAGAAAGAGGCACGCCTAGTGGGGTTGTTTGGATTTTGGAGGCAGCACATTCTTCATTTGGGTGT